TTTCCTCACTTTTTTAAAGATAATAAAAAGAAATTTAGTTGTAAATGATGCAGGCATCAAATCCCAACATTTCGTCAAGTCATCTAATTATGATGTAACTAATCACACTTATCTAAAAAATCAACTTACTTGCAAATAAAAACACATGTCAATTTTCATTTTTAAAACTAAATTAATCGAAGTATATACAATTAGGGATACACAAATTTTTTTGGACAGTCTCAAAGGTGAACCATCACCTCACAACAGAACTCTTATTCGTTATCATTAGAAATGCAATTTATAGTTCTACTCTTGCTGTGTGTTATGGAAGAAGTTACCAAAATTGTTTATTTTGAAAATTGCCAATAGAATCAGTTTCATTTGGATACATTGTACAAGTAATAAATATAAACAATAGATTTTGTTCCTGCTGGAAATGCATAATAAAATTTATGCCCCGCTTCTGTTCAAAAGTGCTTGGCGCAAACAAAATTTTCCCACTGTAGCAAAATCTAGCTCCACAAAACTTCCTCCACAATTTTGCGGACGGATTTCACGACTTCGAAACGACCGCGCCAACTGCTATGGACGTGCGGTTCGGCAGGATATCTGACACTAGCCGGGAGGACAAAGTGCATATCTTGCAGTGCTCCTCTCTCAGGCTACAATCAGGTACATTAGAAGTAGAAGACCGGAAGCTCAAAATATTCTGGAAAATCATTCGCTGACTGAATGAGTAAAGATTTAGGCGCTGGCTGCTGTATGGCTGGTGATTCCGATTGCTAAACCTAATAACTGATTTATTTTTAAACAGTGGGGATGATAATTGTCGAAAGAACCATGTCCTTTGAATGAGAGAAGAAGGAAAAAGAAGATCTTGTACATAGTGATTGTAGCGAAACTTCTTCTCACTACATTATTTTATTTATTAGTGGACTGTATTTGGCTCCACTAGATCGTACACCATCTTTTGCAATTAGTCTACGACAGTGAAAATCCTTTGATTTAATGATAACATTGTCAAATTTACCAATGAAGGGCCTTATCGAATTGAGAAGTTGAAGAACTTGAAAGCTCTGAAATCAGAAATGGCGTTTCTTTCCGATAGTGCTAACTTAAAATACTTCAACTTTATCTTCACACTTAAATATTCCCATTTCGTATAAGAATCTACCAACAAATTTAATCTATTTCAAGTCTGCAACAGTAACTTTAACGTAAAATACTATTTAAAAGTTAAGAAATAATAATTTAAACATACGAGCGGGCCAACAATAGTAAAAACAAAAAGATTAATAAGAAGGAATGATACTTACCTTTTCTTTTGAAAACGGTAAATAGAAATTAAATATAAAAACGAAGTCTTCTATAAGAAATGATAATCAAAATGGCCGCTAATTTCATAAATTAGTATTAAAATAAATAGACCAGTACAGAACAGAATAGTTCCGAATAACATATAAACGTATAACATTTAACATAATAATATATGACATATAACATACAATAACATTTGAATAACATATAAAAAATTGTTTACATGAACAAGAACTTATGTACCCTGGATTTAAGCACGAGACAGAAGGACCGGTGACATTCAGATCAAATTTTTACCGTTGTGACCTAAGCCCAACCCTGAGTTAAAGCGTTAGCCTAAAATTGACCGTCATAAGGCATTCTAGAGACAAGGCTCATGATTAACGATTGGGTCTGATGTGAAGCAGAAAAAAAATTAAAAGATTTGTTCTTTGATTAGGTGGCTAGAATAGATAGTTTTTGTATTGAAGCTTTATCATTTGCTTCAGTGATGCCCCCATGTACGGCGGAAACAGCTGGGCGTCTCCGGTTTTAAAGAGTTGGCTAAGAGCTGAAAACTGAGAAATTAAAATTAACAAATTTATGTAAACTAGTAATCCAGCTTTGCCAGCAGTTGTCGTTCCGAGAGGAAGATTTTTCTGCTGAAAGTAGCCCAAAAACGGTGTAACGATGATTAGTTTTTGAAGATTAATCTTTTTAAAAAGTAAGCCAAGAACTTCACCATGACGCAGTGCTTTGTAAAAATCCCTCTATTAGGTCGATACTATGACGTATCTATTCTAATAATAGTTCCCCTGTCGTCAAGCAAGTCTTCCCTTTTTTTCTTTTAACAGAAAATCAATGAGTATGACGAATCTGCATTGACGCCACTTTTCATTGGCCTGATTTACAAAAGCAAGCTGTGCTGTTTACTAATGTAAAAGACAATTTTTCCGTTAGGTAACGGACCTACCAGTTGGAAGAAAAGTTTTGCTAAATTTTTCACAGCATAACTAACGACGGTCGCAGCTATTATTACGTCTTTGGTAAACTTGTACTGCTGCCACAGACTGACCGCTGTTGCAAATGCTTTCCTTCCTCCAGCCGGGGCTTTTTAAAAGATTGTGCTAATATTTAGGTTTTTAGGCAGGCAAACAACATTTTCTCTCCTCTTTCAGTAATTAAAGTTTCCTACCGAATGATACTGGCGAGTCGTTTTTGCCTAACTCACTGTTTCAGATCGGTACTCTTAATATCGGCTTCAGCAGATAATTTCTACTAAAAAAGTTTCTTATCCAGTACTTTACATGATTTAATAATGAAAGTATCCAGGGTGGTGCTGATCGTCGAATAATTCAGAAGTCTTTTCCCCAATAATCAGTAAAGCATAGTGAAAGAAATCCGTGAAGCATAGTGAAACTGAACTTTTTTT